GATGCTTGAACTGATATTTGAAGAATCAGTGAGGCCCTGATCGGTTTGGCTTAGCAGTTAGAGCATCAGCCCATGGACTGAAGGGTCGCAGGTTCGATTCTGGTCAAGGGCGGTACATGGGTTGCAGGTTTGATCCCTGGCCCCCGTCAGGGTTGTGCTGGAGACAACCAATCAATGTCTCTCTCTTAAAACAACAAAAACAATGGAAAATTATCCGTAGGTGAGAATTAACCAAAAAAAAAAAAAAAAAATTAGTGCGAATTTATTAGGTGGACAAGTTGGGCAGGGTAACAAGGTATAAAATATGTACAAAGAGGTACAGAGACTTTCAACATCTTTGTGGGGGGGGGATTGCAGGAATTTGGAATGGCTGGAGCAGAGTGTGAAGGGTTGTGTGTCAGGTTGAGTGGGTAGATAGACCTTAGATCACTAGGACATTGGATTTCCATCTTGGTGCTAGCCATCAAAGGATTTAAATATCTGCTCACTCCAAAGACATTTACTGAGCACCAACTGTGATAGGTGCTAGGCATACAGCAGCGAACAGACAGTGAACACTATTTTTAAAATTTTTTTTGGAATCTTACAGTCTAGAGGTGAAGTTGTAGCCAAATTCCATCTATCTTTCAAGGCCCAGGTCTTCTGACAAGGTTTATTCAACCATTCTATCCTTACGATTTCCCCCCTTTGGTACTTAGGGCCAGTACCATAGAATTTCAGATCAAATTAACTGTGTATTGAATAATTGATTGTTTTTCTTCTCTTTCTAGCTCTTCTCTCCATCCCCCTTATCTCCTTAGGGGAGAGCAAGGCATAATCTTCTGTAGGATTTAGCACAATTCTAAGCATATATAATAGTTCAGTAGCTGTTGATTAAAAGTTATGGGATGGAAGAGAGGGGAATAGTCAGGATGGAGAGCGAGGCAGAAGGATGGAAGAATTCAGGTAGCAGTAGGAAACAGAGCTTGAAAAGTATGGAGGTCAGGGAGGAGAGGAATTTTTTAGGGGAAATGAATTGGAGTTGGCTAACACTTTCCTGATTAGACGTGATAGGTTGTGTGCCTTTCTGGTCTTTATGGCTTGTAATAGATACACTCCACCCAACTATTGAAAATTTTATGAGGTTTTCATTTGGTTGGCATTTTACTTAAGACACTGGCCTGCATTTCGGAAAGAGAGTATAGTCTTTCTATTAACTTAAGCACTTGCCTACTAATTTTATAATTCAGTCATTCTTTCTACTTTTTTTTTCCTCCTAGAATTCTTTTGTAAAGAAGAATCATCAAGGCTATTCCTAACCCTAAAATATAGTTCAGGAAAGGCAAGATATGTTCTTAATTATTTTTCTTTAATTCCTAATGGTTTGGGATTAACAAAGAACTTGAAACACTCACAACACTTTTTGGAAGTTGCAAGTGCAGTACAGGTAACTTTTATTCCCCCCAAACCACACGTTGCTGCCCTGCTTCCCACCGTGCCTGCCCTCTCCTGCCCTCTCCCCAGTCTCTTCAGGCAGCTTTTGATCTTTCTATCACAGTACATTACTTTGCATTTCCCATAATTTTATGAAAATGGATTCATTTGGTCTGTACTCTTTTTTTTTTTTTTTCCTGGCTTCTTTCACTCAATGTAATTATTTTGATTTACCCATGTAGTGAACATATAACAATGGTTCATTCCTTTTAATTGCTATGTAGCGTTCCATTAAATGGAAACAGCAGTTTGTTTATCCATTCATTTGTTGATGGAAATTTGGATTACTTCTAGTTTTGGGCTATTAGTCTTTATAATTAATTAGTGTTTTATGGTGAGGTACTTAGAAATCATGTTCCTGTCCCTCCTCAAACTTTGAATTTATTTATATATTGATGTGAGTATGGACTCATGGATTTCTAATTCATTCAGTGGATTATAATGTATTACCATTATCATTTTGATGCTCAAATTATCCCAGATTTGGCCAGCGGGAACTTGTTCAAACTGACTTCTGGGTTCTTTCAACATATCGTTGAACACTTTATTTTCTGATACAAGAAGATATTTTAGCCTCATTTTCTATTTCCTTGCTCCAGCCCTGGAATCAGTAATTTCTCTAAGGAGTTCTGGTTTCTTTTAAGACCTTTCAACAGACATAGCTAGGAAGTATGTATATGTGTGTACATACATACATATTTACATCTATATCTTTTTCTGTATCATTCTATTAAAGGCCATGAATTTACATCATCTCTTGTTCCAGGTCATTATCACAGGGTTTATTCTAGTCTACTCTCTTCCAAATGTGTAACTTCCCTCTCCTACAGTGAAAAGGCTACAGTGATCTTTAATAGAAGTACAGTCTTTATGTAATTAATCTCCCAGCCATGCAGACTGTCTCTTAGACTCTAGCTCAACTGTGTAGGCGGCTCCCTCAGCCCTGGCTTCGAGGAACACATAGCTTAGTACTTGACCCAGCCCTGTTGAATGCTGGGCAAGTCCCTGACCCTGTCACATACACCAGTTGAGACCCTAATCCCAAACATACTGGTCCAGTCCCAGCAAATGTTTCGGTGAGCCCCAGGCTTTGCAGACTTGCTAGATGAGTCTCTGTCAAGCTACCGATCCTGGTTTTGGCAAACGCAGAGCTCGTATCTCCAACCTCTGCAAGTGCATCAGCTGAGGCCCCTTTTGAGATATCATTCCTGGAAAACCAAGACCAAGCCCTGGCAAACTCGGCTGAAGTCCCTAACCCTGACCACGGGCTCCAGTTAGAATCTAACCTGGCGTGCTCGCTGTCTGTTCCAGGAGCATGCCCTTGTCTTTCCTCCTCCTCTCATCTCCTTTTTCCCTTCTTCCTTCTCTCCCTGCCTCCTTCCCTCTCTTCCTTCCTCCTAGGCTCTAAGGCCCCTTCTTTTGCCTCTGTAGCTTGTTTCCTGAGCCCATTTCTCTACGGCTCACTTCTACCTCTGTGACTTTCTAACCGTGTTTTTGTATTTTTTTTATCTTCACCCGAGGAGATTTTTTTGTTTTTTGTTCAGATAGAGTGGGAGGGAGAAAGAGAGAGAAACATAGACGTGAAAGGGACACATCGAGTGGTTGCCACCCACACAACCCAACCAGGGCCGGGGACAAACTGCAACTGAGGTACGTGCCCTTAGCGGAAACCGAACCCGGGTCTCTCTGGACCGCAGGCTGACGCTCTAACCGCTGAGCCAAACCGGCCAGGGCTCTGTGACTTTCTAAATAAACTTTCTCTTGTAGTTTGAGAAAGAGAAGTCTAACCTTGCAAAATGTTTATATCCTTGGTTGATACTTGTACTCTCTTCTTAAATTGAAAATCTTGTTCCTAACAGTATTAACAAAATTACTTGCTTTATTCTACATGTTAAATGTTTTAATGAGGAAAAAAGAGTCTTTTCAACAAATGGTATTGGGACTACTGGGTAGCCACATGTAAAAGAATAAAATTGGACCCATACCTTACATCATATACAAAAGTTAGATAAAAATGGGTCAGACACCTAAATGTAAGAGCTAAAACTAGAAAACTCTCAGGAGAAAATATAGGGGTAAATCTTCCTGACCTCCGATTTGGCAATAGATACTTAGATACTACACCAAACGCATGAGCAACAAAAGAAAGAAAGAAATTAGATTTCATCAAAATGAAAAAACTTTTGTTTTGAAAGATACTATCAGGAAAGGGAAAGACAACCCACAGAATAGGAGAAAATACTTGCAAATGATATATCTGATAAGGGACTTATATCTGTAACACAGGGTGGGGCAAAAGTAGGTTTACAGTTGTTCAGTTTCTTCTGGTTGAAAAGCAGTTGGCTCTTTTTCAGTAAGGATCATCTCATTGTGACCAGGAGAGCTCACTGTGGGTTAATCCACCCATGAGCTCTGTCGGTTCTGTGCTGCCTCTTAGGAGCTTTGTTTACCTGGATGTGCTCAGTGACCAGAGAATCTTCGTCTACACCTTAAGTTCAGCATTACTCTGCATTTTTAAGCATGTGCAGCAGAAGTTCAGCACCCTTTTTGGACCACCGACCCTGTGTCCAGCCCCACTGTTTGGCCTGGGCACACCTACCAACTCCACATTGTAACGACGGAAAGGCACACATTGCTTCTGTAAAGTGATGTCCTTCAGATATTTGGTGGCTTTTTGGATATGTGAACCCTTGATGGCCAGGGCAGTTTCACAGGTGTTCTTAAAGTGAACATGAAGATTTGAACCTCCTGATTTGCATGATTTTGTGGGGTTTTCTGGGTCTAGTGAGTTCTGGACCATTTTTAGAGGTCACATCAGGCTGCTTTGGGGAAGAGCTCTTCTTTTCTTTTTAAACCTCACCGAGGATATTTTTCTATTTATCTTCGGATAGAGTGGAAGGGAGAGAGAGGGAGAGAAAGAGAAACATCACCGTGAGAGGGACACACTGATTGGTTGCCTCCTGCATGACCCTGACCGGGGCTGGGGATGAACTGCAATCGAGGTACATGCCCTTGGCCGGAATCCAAACTGCGACTCATTGGTCCATGGGCTGACACTCTACTGCTGAGCCAAATCAGCAAGGGCTCTTCTTTTATTTTAAGGGAGAAATTCTACATTCTTTACGAGGGAAATTGTAAGCTAATCTCATCAGATTTTTTATATTGTTTAACTCTTCATAGATGCATTTGGTACTTTGTGTCAACACCTTGTGTTGATATTTTTTAGAATATGGCAGATAAGCACTCTAAAATTAGAAAGAGTGGGGTTATGAATCATATCTCCTAGGATTGTTTGGTGTAAAGGAGGTAAGGTGTCTAATGTCCTTAGCTTCATGCTTGGAATATGTAAGTGCTCAGCATATGTTAGCTGTGAACTATTATTATATGTGTCCCTTATCTTCCAGATTTAAAATTCTTTAAGAGCAGTGCTAGTGTAATACATACTTTACATATTATGGACTCAACATTATACTCAATATAACTATATTCTCATTATAGTTTTTAATGTTTTGTCTTTTATCTTGCAGTGATGAAGCTAGAGCATCTGTTCGTAGGTGATTCAGGTCGATATTTGGCTATTCAATTGCATCTGGAATGTGCATATATATATTTGTACTTTTATGAATATAAAAAAGCAAATGATCAGTTCAGCATTGCTAAAGACATCAGCAAATTACAAATTAATTTGACAGGTACGGCTTTTTGTCTTTTGTGGATAATTGGTTTATTTTTATGATAAAATTAATATATACATTGGTAGTTCAGTTTGGTTATATTGTTTGGATATATTTGATTTTCTTTCTTTTTTTTTTTAATCTTTACCCAAGGATATTTTTCTATGTATCTTCAGGTAGAGTGAGAGGGAGGGAGGGAGGAGAGAAATATCGAAGTGAGAAGGACACATTGACTGGTTGCCCCTCGCATGACCCTGACCAGGGCTGGGGATGAACTGCAACTGAGGTACATGCCGTTGTTTGGAATTGAACCTACGACTCATTGGTTCGCTGACCAGTGCTCTAACCACTGAGCAACTGGCCAGAGCTGTTTGTATTTGATTTTCTGTGTCCTGATTTTTGCTTTATAAAAATAGATTTTAAAAATTTATAGTTTTACAACAAATTTGAAATGATATATTTTCTTTCATCCCGAAGATGCCCATTTACTTCCTAATCTAGTTGACCATTTGGTTGTAGGTGTGGGTCTCCTAAGACCTCTTCCTGATTCCCAAGTTTAGTTTGTCCTTTCTACATTGCTCTTTCTTATATCTTTTTATACAAGAAATACCCATTTGTGGTTTCTATCCTGGGTTGTTTTTTTTTTGTATTCCTTAAGACCAAATTTTTGACTGTTTTGTTTAGGTGTTTCTTCAATGTCTTACAACACTATCTGGCATGTAGTAGGTACTCAATAAACATTTGTTGAGTGAACATATAGAATTTCTCCTAAAACCTCTGTTTCTTCTGAGTACCAAATAGGAAACATTAGTTTCTTTTTATATAGTCCTTTATCCCTATGTCTCACAATATAATTGACATTCAGAATTGAGTATATTAATGAAAGTCAGACATCCTCAGTTGATCACACTATTTATACTTGTTAAACATGGGCTCAGCATACCAGACTGTTACTCCCAGTCTGTATGTATTAAAATGATTGAACCTATTATGTTGTTCTTAGGCTGGGTCTAGATTATTTCTAAGGCCCATTCTTAGCCCCTAAACTCCACACTTCTTATTTAATTATATAATAAAATCCTTTAGATATATTATGAGTTAAATACGACTTTGTGGCCTGGTCTGGGATCTTAGCCATCTTTTATTATTGTGAAGGGAAAATTATTAAATATCCCGTTTACAACTTTTGGAACAATGGCTGTGTGTAAGTTGGAGTCTTGTCTGCGTTTGAAAAGATATTTATATACAATATAATTTGTGAGGTTGGTTTTAGAGATTATGATTTTGAATATTGTAGATTTAGGAGACTTATTTTTGGACTACTGGAAAAACTAATAGCATAGTACTGTGTATGGTTAGCTTTAACTGTTGGTGTATTTGCTACCTAGTTTTCATAATTTTTTTCCAAGATAAGAGTGAACAACTAAAAATATAAATGTGGTATGCATAAATATAAAATGAGAATCAGATTATTTTTTTCCATTCGGCTCTAGCCTTACTATAAATAATGTAAGCTGTTTCAGACCATCTCAGTAGCTGCTTTTAGTGTAACGTGTTTAAAAGGTTATGTATAACTTGGAGCCCGACTCATAGCAGGATAAAATCCAGACTTTATAGACTGGCTTTTGTTATCAAGGGTCTTTATAATCTTGACTCTTACCAGAAAATAGATGTGAGAACTTTTGCTTCTCTTAATGCTATTCTGCAGCAAGTTATTTCAGTTACAAAATGAAAAAAAAATTTGGTGTTACATGAAGCCAGATAGTATAATAGAAAGACTGGGATTTAGAACCTGAACACCCTGGCTTTAAGCTCTGGGTCTGATACTGAGAAACCCTGTGATTTTTACCTCAGAACCTACATGTTATTATCTGTTCCATGGAGATGATGATATTTCTTCTACCTATGGCACTTCATGAGCTGTTCTTTTGAGGAAGTGTAGGTAGTGTGATGCAAAAGTTAGTGTATGGAATCTATTGGCAGAAATCCTGGGTTTGCATTCTGGCCCCATAGCTTATTGGCTTTTATAACTTTATAAGTCATTTAAAATCATCCCTGAGACTCGGGTTTCTCTTTGTGAGATGGAGAAACACTTTATAACCTCTAAAGTACTCTGAAAATATTGCTCTTTATGATTGTATAGAAGATTTGATTGACAAATCAATAAATATAATTTTATATTTTTTAGGTGCTTTGGGCAAAAGGACACGGTTCCAGGAAAATTATGTGGCACAACTTATTCTAGATGTAAGAAGGGAAGGGGATGTGTCTTCAAATTGTGAATTCAGTCCAGCCCCGACTCCTAAGGAATATTTAACCAAGGTAAGTAGGATCCTGAGTTATTTAAATTAGTATCCAAGTCTAACAGTTTCAATACGCGAATTTCACAGAAACACTGAACAGAGTGGGAAGTGGCGTTTTGGCTCTTCTCTAGCTTTTTCAAGGGGGTTGGGGCTAAAAATTGCCCATGTTTATGCCTTTTTTACTCTTTAAGTAGAGATAAATTAGAGATAAAACTTAACTGCTCTTCAGTAAGTATGAATTAGTAATACAGTTAGTTGTGTTACCTGCTTCCCACCCTTGAAGAAATCTGAAAGACAGGCTGAGGAGAGACTAGGTTTTCTGGCTGCTGCCATATTTCTTTTCTTTTTTTAAAAATTAATTAATTTATTTTTGTTACAGATGTGCCATATTTCTTGCCTTACTTTTGCCTTCTGTGGATATTTTTGAACACTGAGGCTTAAAACTTCTTAGGCATCTAAATATTTAAACAGATGATTAGAATTCCTTTTTACCAGTTTTTCAGTTTGTCTTGTTACTCTGTTATTGGGCTGGTTCCTGCCGTAGTATGTTTTTCTTGATGTGGCTAATGCTTTCTCTTCTTGAAACTTGAAATTATGGCTCTTGGTCAGTTTACCTACTGAAGGGCCTATCCAGCTGCTTCCATGAAGGCCATTATCATTTATATATATATTTATATGTGTATTTTTTTAAAAACACATTTGTATTTTCTTATTTCAGAGACCCTGAATCATTTTTGGTTGTTCTTTGGTTGATGTTATTGCCCTTGAAGCCCATGTCTTGCTACTCTTTATTCTAGAGCCCGCAAACACATTTACCTTGTGTACACTGAACACTAAAGCTCTCTTTGTATTGAAATAATGCTGAGGGTCGGGGTTAGGGATGGCAACAGTCAGGAACCCAAGGAATGCCTTTGATGAGATATTGCACCCCCTGGGCTTGCTGCAAGCATTCTGCTTGTTTTATTATAACTTCTGGGAGCAACAGCAGTTGATTCTAAGAGGAAAAAGAAGGAAGGAAGGGAAGGATGTAGAAACTTAGGGATAAGACTACCAGGGTGTCGCCTGTACTTCCTGAAGTCGGTAGGGCCGTGTTTGAATCAGTATTTGGATTGCTGTGTTGATGCTGGTCATGAAACTGGGCTGATAACTGCTTCCATCCTCCATTTCCTTTTTGTGTACACTGGACCCTTCTTTCTAAGTTTTTGAGGTAACCCAAGTCCCTCCCTAAGTCTTAGATTAATTGTCATAAGCCTAATTTTTAGACCAAAGCACAGCATCAATGAAAAGAGATTTAGCGCAATCAGTGGTTGAGATAAGAATATAGGTGAGAAGGTGGAATGAGATATAGACATTAGGCTGGGAAAAGCGGGAGAGGGGAGCAAAAGGAGTGGGGGAAGGGGGACATCTGTAATACTTTTAACAATAAAAAAAAGATTTAATTCTGCAATCCAAGCATTTAATTCAGTAATCCATTGTTTATTAATATTTTTAATGTGGCGCTCTCCTATTGAAAATTTTCTCCTGTGCCTGGTCAGTGTGGCTCAGTGGTTGAGTGTTGACCCATGCACCAAGAGGTCTTGGTTCAATACCCGGGCAGGGCACACACCCAAGTTATGGGCCCAGTCCCCAGTGAGGGGCATGTAGGAGGCAGCCAGTTGATGTTCTCTCTCATCGATGTTTCTCTCTCTCTCTCTCTCTCCCCTCTGCCCCCCTCGCTCCCTCCCACTCTCTAAAAATCAATGGAAAAAATATCCTTGGATGAGAATTAACCATAAATAAATAAGTAAGTAAATAAATAAGTTGAATGCAAAGGGAAATAATGACAAAAGTATATGCACTACAACAGTATGTCATACATTTGATGGTATAAATGAAGACACCAGGATGGTGAAGAGAACTAAATACCCAAAATGCAACACTTGGTTTGCTGCTTCAACACAACACTTTCATACATATCTAAAAGATGTCAAAATTAGTAGGTACAGCCCTGGCTGATTTGGCTCAGCGGTTAGAGCGTCGGCCTGCGGTCCTGAGAGACCCGGGTTCGGTTCCCGCTAAGGGCGCGTACCTCGGTTGCAGTTTGTCCCCGGCCCTGGTCGGTCGTGCGGGTGGCAGCCACTCGATGTGTTCCTTTCGCATCGATGTTTCTCTCTCTCCCTCCCACTCTACCTGAACAAAAAATGGAAAAATGTCCTCCGGTGAGGATAAAAAAATAAAAAAAAAATTAGTAGGTACAAAGTTAGTTTTTGCATGTGATTCTCTGGCATAAGAGGTTTTAGAAAACAGATCTGAAATACCCATTTTTTGTTTTTGTCAACTGTAATGTCAAGGATATTCAGAACAAGAAAAATTCTATAATTCAGGAGAGTCCAGATATGTCTAATGTGGCTGGTCTCTGTCACAAGATTGTACAAGTTTCAGTGCAAAAACTAAGCCTCTCCAAAGGTCCATGATCATGCAGTTTCAGACGTTTGCTAGGTAAACTAGACAACATTTATTACTCTGCAAGGGCAACACTATAAAAAGAAGTCTGTGACCTGCACACAGTAACATTATCCTAAGCATCACTTGCATAGGTCTGAAAGACTAGCACATTTATTGAGTAGGTAGAATGTTACGAAGTTCGAGTGGAACTAAAGTAGAATATTAAATTCGGGGCTTGTTGGCACTGCAGTAGACCCATTTTAATTTCAAAAAGAGCTGAGTGGGAACAGAGAGAATCTTGGATGGAGATCAAAACTGTTTTGCTCACCTGTTTTGTACCTGGTAAATGAAGAATGCCCTGTTGCTAACACTGACATGTCTATTCTCAAGTCTTCTGTGGTGGAGGAGGAGGAGTCCTGGGCTGGGAGGAGACCAGGGTTCCTGTCACATCCTAATTGTCTAGCCAGGGTGAGAACCTGGGACAGTTTTTAGATTCTTAGTTTCCTTATTTGTTTTTCCCACATCACACTCTGTGAAAGGACCAGATTAGGTCTGGTAAGGCACTGTACAAATAGGTTATTAATCATGGGGAATTTATAAGCAGGTTGATACAACCTTATCAGTATGAATAAAGTGAGAGTTTGGGATACCCTAGAGCTGACCAGTCCAGTGGTAACAATCAGCCACATGTGATTGATAATCACTTCAAAGTTGGTTGGTCCAAATTGAAATGTAGTGAAGTAAAAGGAATACCAGATTTCATAGACTGTGTACAAAAAAGAATGTATAGAATCTAATTATTTTCTATTGATACATGTTACAAGGATAATATTTTTGATGTATTAGTTTAAATAACTTTATTCTTATTTTTAAAACTTTTTAAATTGAATTTACGGGGCTGACATTGATTGATAAAATTATATAGGTTTCAGATATACAATTCTACAATACATCATCTGTATATTGTATTGTGTTTACCACCTAAAGTCAAGTCTCCTTCCATCACCATTTATCCCCCTTTACCCTCTTCTATCTCCCCCCAATCCCCTTTCCCTCTGGTAACCACCATACTGTTGTCTGTGTCCACGAGTCTTTCTTTTTCTTCTTTGCTTAATCCCTTAAGTGTTGCATTTAGAGGATTTAAAATTACATTTGCAGCTCTAGATTTAAAAATATGAAAGGCCTGTGTTGAAAATGGTTGGCCACCAGGGTGTGCTATGCACCTGCCAGCCCTGCCTTTTGAAGGGTGCTCCCTCAGGGAGGAAAAGGCATTTTTTCTGTGGAGACTGAGAAGCAGCCCACATTTTTGTGTTCCTCCCATCAACGGTTCTTGCACTGTTTCTTGAAACCTATTAGATAGAACAGGGCCTATATTTAGCATGAATTTGAGGATAAACAAGGAAAGCTGTTCTTTGGGGCTGTGATATAGGCAGATAAATGTTTACCATGTAAGAGATTACCAGTTAAGAGGCTGACCTTTCGGTCACAGACAGTTTTCAGCCTTCTGCCCAGCCCCATGTAACTCCTAAAGTCTTCTTGGTTTTAGCTGCTTTTATTGAATTAGAAAAAAATTTAAATCAAGCTTATTGAGGAAATACTTACATAAAATAAAAGGTATCCATTTTAAATGTACAGTTTTGATAAATAAACACACGTAACCACCACAGCACTAAACATATAGAGCCATTTTCATCCTGCCAGGAAGTCCGTGCATGTCCCTGTAGTCCCTTCCCCTCCTGCTGGTCTGCTTTCTGTCACAGACTAGAGCTGGTCTTTTTCTAGACTTTCAAATAAGTAAAATCATACAGTATGACTCTTTTGTGTCTGGTTTCTTTCACTTAGCATACTGTTTGAGATTCATTGATATTTTGATAGTAATAGTTAGCTCCTGTTTATCATGATTAATACCACAGTGTGTTTATCCCTTCCCCTGTTGGTGGACGACTGAGCTGTTTCTAGTTTTTGGCTATTTCGAATAAAGCTGCTTGGAAGATGTGTGTGGATCTTTGTGTGAACATATGTTTTTAATTCTCACTGGTAAATAGGAATGGAATGGTTGGGTTATGTGCTAAGTATATTTTTAACTGGATGAGAATCTGCCAAACTGTTTTCCAAAGTGGTGGTACTATTTTACATTCCCACCATCAAAGAATGAGGGCACTGATTGCTCTACATCCTTGCCAACACACAGTATTGTCAGTCTTTTTAGTTTTTGCCATTCTACTGAGTGTGTGTATCTCATTGTGATTTTGCTATTTTTTGATAATTTATTAAAAAACAATTTTATTGAAATATTACTTACAGAAAAGTAAAATGCTTGATCCATTTTAATTGTATAGTTTGATGAGATTTGACAAAAATACACACACACACACACACACACACACACACACACACACCCATTACAGTCAAGATGTGTTCCACTACTCTAAAAGTTCTACCATGCCCTTTTCAGTTCATCCACCCCGGGCCCTAAACAGTCATTGATCTGCTTTCTGTGACTACAGATGGTTTGTCTTTTCTAGAATTTCATATGAATAGAATCATACAATATATACTCTTTTGTATCTCATCTCTTACTTAACATGATGTTTTTGAAATGTATCTAATGTTCTTTTAGTGATGATTAGAATTTCATTGACTGAAGATAGCATATATAATTTTAAAAAATTTACCTGTTGACAGACATTTGGGTTATTTCTAGTAGTTTGGGGCTATTACAGATAAAACTGCTGTGAACATTTTATTTATTCATTTAAAAAAATTTTTAATTTAATCCTCACCCGAGGACATTTTTGCATTTATCTTCAGATAGAGCAGGAGGGAGAGAAGGAGGAGGAGAGAGAGAGAGAAACATCGACGTGAGAGAGACACATCAAGTGGCTGCCACCCACAAGACCCCAACCGGGGCCAGGGACAAACTATAATCGAGGTATGTGCCCTTAGTGGGAACCGAACCCGGGACTCTCCAGTCTACCAGCCGACACTCTAACCATTGAACCAAACCGGCCAGGGTGAACATTTTATTTATTTATTTTTTGTTAATCTTAACCTGAGGATATATTTTTTTTCCCAGTGATTTTTAGATAGAGTTGAAGGGAGGGAGGGAGGAGGAGAGAGAGAAACATTGATTTGAGAGAGACACATTGATTGGTTGCCTCCTGCATGACCCCGACTGGGGCCAGGCATTGAACCTGCAACCCAGGTACATGCCTTTGACCAGAATCAAACCTGAGACTCTTTGGTCAGTGGGTGGACGCTCCAACTGCCGAGCCAAACTGGGCAGGGCTGTTATGAACATTTAAATACATGTGTTGGTGGGGACATATGTTTCCATTTCTCATTGGTAAGTATTTAGGAATGGAATGGGTAGTTCGCATGGTAAGTGCATGTTTATTATAAGAAACTAGCAGACTGTTTTCTGTGGTGGATACCATTTTAAGAAAGTTCCAGATTCTTGTTGACATTTAGAACTGTCAGTCTTTTAAGTTTTATCCATTCTAATGTATGTGTACTAGTAGTTCATTCTGATTTTAATTAGTATCTCCCTGTTGACTAGTATTGTCCAGGATATTTTTGTATGCTTATTGGCTATTTGTATATTTTCTTTTATGAAGCATCTGTACAAAACTTTTGTCCATTTTTATATTGGTTTATCTTCTTATTACTGAGTTGTAAGAGTTTTCAGTATTCTTCACACAAGCCCCTTTTCAGATATTTCTTTTGTGAATATATTCTCTGAGTCTGTAGCTTGGCTTTTCTTTTTTTTTTAACAATGTTTTCAAAGAGCAAAAGTTTTTAATTTGATGAAGTCTGGGTTATTAAGTTTTTCTCTGATAGTTCAGGTTTTTTGGTGTCTGCCTACCCCAGGTTGCAAAGCTTTCTTTTAAAAGTTTTTTACTATTAGCTTCTCCTTTAAGGTTTGTGATAAATTTTGATTGTATGTTTGTATTATGTGTGAGATAGGGGTGAGGGTCCCTTATTTTCTAAATGGATATCCAATTGTTCCAGAATCATTTATTGAAAAGACTCTCCTCTGTTGAATCACCTGTGCACTTCTGTTGAAAATCAACTGACCATATAATGTGGATCTAAAATTTTAGACTCTCTTCCATTCAGCTATATGTTTGTCTTCATTCCAGTGCCACACTGTCTTGGCTATGTAGTAATTCTTTTTGTTGCTGTTAATCCTCAGCTGAGGATATTTTTTTATTGATTTTAGAGTGGAAGGGACGGGAGGAGGGAGAGAGGGAGAGACACAGAGAGAGAAAGAGAAACATCGATGTGAGAGAGATACATCTATTGGTTGCCTCTGGCACTACCCCAACCTGGGCTGGGGATTGAACCTGCAACCCAGATACGTGCTCTTGACTGGAATTGAATGTGAGACCTTTCGATCCAAGGGCTAACATTCCAACCGCTGAGCCAAATCTGCCAGGTCATGTAGTAATTCTTAAAATCAATTCTACTGAGTCCTCTAAGTCCTCAGATTGTATTCTTTTCAAATTGTTTTGCTGTTCCAGATACTGTTGAGAAATAGAGTTGGGAGTTGTTTCAGTTTATAGTTTAGAGGCAGAGTAGAAAGCACAGCTGTTATTCTCTATTATTGATACTGTCAGTGTATTCCTGAGGTATATAGATGGCATGTCCTCTATCTCTACATGGTAGATTATCCCCAAATATGTGTTCCAAAAGAAAGCCTATTAAGCTATGTAGACATTGTATAATCTTAAACAAAAAGGTAATTTATCCTTCCCTAGCAGTGAGTTGCATACAGTCTGTTGAATGAATCAAATTTAATTTTTAGTCTAAATATTTTCTTTGATCTTCCACCAGAATCTCGAGCTGAATGATGATACTGTTCTAAATGAGATCAAGTTAGCAGACTGTGAACAGTTTCACATGCCGGACCTGTGTGCTGAAGAGCTCGCTGTTATCCTTGGACTCTGGTAAGGTCATGGCTTACTTGGCTACATTGAGCACCTTGCATGTTGGTTCTTGTGTTGCAGAAATCTTTACTTAGGAGGCCCCAAGAGTTGTGGGAGAAGAGGGAATCTTTTTATTTTTTTAAAATCCTCACCCAAGGACATTTTTTCCATTTTTTGTTCAGATAGAGTGGGAGGGAGAGAGAGGGAAAGAGAGGGAGAGAAACATCGATATGAAAGGGACACATCGAGTGGCTGCTACCCGCATGACCCAACCAGGGCCGGGGACAAACTGCAACCGAGGTACGTGCCCTTAGCGGGAACCGAACCCGGGTCTCTCTGACTGCTGGCCGATGCTCTAACCGCTGAGCCAAACTGGCCAGGGCAGAAGATGCTTCTGAAGATCAAGAATAGTTGGGCAGCCAATGAAAAGGTTAGAGATTAGGAATCTCCAGAATCTCCTGGGAGTTGGTATTCTTATCCTTCTCTTTTCTCCTTAAGCAAAATTTTTTTGGTAAGCTTTAGCTAGGAATACACCCTTAATAAAGTATTTAGGATAGGTGAGAATGAGTATTTTGAACTTTGAGGATATTTACATCTCAAAAGATGGACTTATTTTTTTAATACTGTAGAACTTTATGTGTGGTAGAAATAGTTTTTCCTTTTATTTTTATATATTTTTTCTAATTTGAAGTAATTTCAAATTTGAGAAAACATTGCCAGGGCAAGGAATTGCAAAGAATTTAAGAGAATAATTTTCCAATGTGATACTCTATCACCCTGAGTACTTTAGTGTGTGATCCCTGCAAGCAGGGGTATTTTTGTACATTGTAACAATACAGCTGTCAAAATCAGGAAAATAACATTCATACTTCACTCTCATTTAATACTCAGACTCCACATTCAGTTTCGCTAGGCCCAGTCCGCACTGTGCTGCAGAGCCAGTTCTGAAGGTGTGTACCTCAGTTGCAAACTCGATCCCCCTGGAGACGGCGTTCAGGAGGCAGCCAATCGATGCTTCTCTCTCACATCGATGTTTTTGTCTTTCTAAAGAAAAAAAATCAATAAAAACATATATTTTAAAAAACAACTAATGTACAAACATGTCATGCATCTTTTATTTTTTTTAATCATTACCTGAGGATATATTTTTTCCATTTATCTTCAGACAGAGTGGGAGGGAGGGAGAGAAACATCAATGTGAGAGAGTCTCATCGACTGGCCGCCTCCCGCATGACCCTGACCAGGGCCGGGGACCAAACTGCAACTGAGGTATGTGCCCTTGACTGGAATTGAACCCGTGACTCTTTGATCAGCTCTCATCGCTGAGCCAAACCAGCCAGAGCTGAGTTATTATTATTTTTAAATATTTTTATTGATATTTAGAGTGAGAGGAAAGGAGAGGAAGAAAGAGAAACATAGATGTGAGAGTGGAACATTTATTGGTTGCCTCTTGCACACCCCTCACGGGGGGATGGAGCCTGCAAACCAGTCACATGCCCCATCTGGGAATCTAGCTGGCAACCTTTTGGTGCACAGGACAGTGCCTAGCCAACTGAGCCACACTTGGAAGGGCCACATTCTGACTTCTTTATTCTGTTTCTTAGAACATTGTTGAGGCAAATTCATAATTGTCAACCCATCAGGAAATTAAATCACACCAAATATATATAGTCTCAGGCATTCTGTCAGTTTGACTTTAGCTATATTGACTTAGACTTCACAGTTGAGATAGGACTAACCAAGAAAATGCTTGTTTCAAATACTATTTTTTTCCCCAAATATGATCTTGGTGGAATCTCAATATTAGAGGCTACTGGGGATCAGGTTACAACCGGGGCATGTGTCCCGACCAGGAGTTGAACCGGCGACCCCTTGGTGCATGGGTTGACGCTCAACCACTGAGCCACACCTGCTGGGCTGTTATAATTATTTATTTATTTTTTAATTAATTAATTTACTTTTGTTACAGATGTTTCTCCTTTTCCCCCCACTGATACTCCCCATCCCGCCCCTACCCCCCTTGTCTCCAGCTTTGTTGTCCATGTCCATTGTTCATGCATACAAGCATGTAAGTTCTGTGATTTATCTCTCCCCCACCACCCCTTCTTCTGGGGATTGTCAGTCTGTACCCCACTTCCACGTCTCTGGGACTACCCCGTTCCTCAGACTGTTATGTTCATTATATTCCACAAATAAATGAGATCGTGTAATATTTTTCTTTCTCTGCTTGGCTTGTTTTGCTTAGGATAATACTCTCCAGGTCCCTCCATGTCATCTCAAAGGATAAGAGATTTCTTTCTTTCTTACAGCTGCATAGTACTCCACTGTGTATATGTACCACAGCTTTTTTATTCATTTGTCTACTGATGGACATTTGGGCTGTTTCCAGATCTTAGTTATTGTAAATAGTACTGCTATGAACATGAGGGTACATATATTCTTTCTGATTGGTGTTTCAGGCTCCTTAGGGTATATTCCTAGAAGTGGGATCACTGGGTGAAATGGAAGTTCAATTTTTAATTTTTTGAGGTAACACCATATTGTTTTCCATAGTGGCTGCACCAGTCTGCATTCCTACCAGCAGTGTACTAGGGTCCCCTTTTCTCCACACCCTCGCCAACACTTGTTGTTTGATGATTTGTTGATGGCGGCCATTCTGACAGGTGTGAGGTGATACTTCATTGTTGTTTTAATTTGCATCTCTCTGATGATTAGTGATTTTGAGCATTTCTTCATATGTCTCTTAGCCATTTGTATGTCCTGTTTGGAGAGGTGTATATTTAGTTCCCCTGCCCATTTTTTAATTGGGTTCTTTGTCTTCCTTTTGTTGAGTTGCATGTGCTCTCTCTATATATTGGAAATAAACCCCTTATCTGATGTATCATTGGCAGTTATGCTCTCCCATAGAGTGGGTTGCCTTTCCATTTTGGTGGTGGTTTCTTTTGCTGTGAGAAGCTTTTGAGTTTGATGTAGTCCCATGTGTTCATTTTCTCCTTTGTTTCTGTTGCCTTAGGTGATGTATCAGTGAAAATTCTGCTGCGTATGATGTCTGAAATTTTGTTGTCTACATTTTCTTCTAGGACTTTTATGGATTCATGAGTCACATTTAAGTCTTTTATTCATTTTGAGTTTATTTTTGTGTATGGTGTAAGTTGATGGTCTAGTTTCATTATTTTGCATGTAGCTGTCCAATTTTCCCAACACCATTTATTGAAGACGCTGTCTTTACTCCACTATATGCTCTTGCCCCTTTGTCAAATATTAATTGAGCATATTGTCTTGGGTCCATTTCCGGGTTCTCTTTTCTGTTCCATTGATTTATCTGCCTGTTCTTATGCCAGTACCAGGCTGTTTTGATTATAGTGGCTTTGTAGTATAATCTGAAATCTGGTAATGTGATCCCTCCATCTTTGTTCTTCTCTTTCAAGATTGCTGTGGCTATTCAGGGTCTCTTTTGGTTCCATGTGAACTTTTGAAGTATTAGTTCTAGTTCTGTGAAGTATGTCATTGGTATTTTGATGGGGATTGCATTGAATCTATAGATTGCTTTGGGTAGTATGGACATTTTAATGATGTTAATTCTTCCAAGCCATGAACAAGGTATGTGCTTCCACTTCTTTATATCTTCCTCTATTTTTTTTTTTTTAATGACCTGTAGTATTCTGCAAATAGGTCCTGTATTTCTTTGGTTAGGTTTATTCCAAGGTATCTTAATTTTTTTGCTGCGATGGTAAATGGGATTTTTTTAGTTTCTTTTTCTGTGACTTCATCATTGATGTATAAGAATGCCGTCGATTTCTTGATGTTAATTTTGAATCCTGCTACTTTGCCAAATTCATTTATTAAGTCTAGTAGATTTTTGATGGAGTCTTTGGGGTTTTATATGTATAGTATCATGTCATCTGCGAATAATGACAGTTTCACTTCCTCCTTTCCCATTTGGATCCCTTTTATTTTTTCTTCCTGATTGCTGTGGCTAAGATTTCCAGTACTATGTTAAATAAGAGTGGTGAAAGTGGTCATCCTTGCCTTGTTCCTGTTCTTAAGGGAAATGCTTTTAGTTTTTGCCCATTGAGTATAATTTTGGCTGTAGGTCTTTCATATATGGCCTTTATTATGTCGAGATATGATTCCTCTAGTCCCAGATTACTGAACGTTTTTATCAGAAATGGGTGCTGGATTTTGTCGAATGCTTTTTCAGCATCTATTGATATGATCATATGGTTTTTATCTTTCATTTTGTTTATGTGGTGTATCACATTTATTGATTTGTGAATATTGTACCAACCTTGCATCTCTGGGAAGAATCCCACTTGGTCATGGTGAATAATTTTTTTGATGTATTGCTGAATTTGATTTGCTAGTATTTTGTTCAGGATTTTGGCATCTATGTTCATCAGGGATATTTGCCTGTAGTTTTCTTCTTTGTAGTGTATTTTTCTGGTTTTGGAATTAGAATTATGCTGGCCTCATAAAACGAGTTTGGAAGTCTTCCTTCTTCTTGAATTTATTGAAATAGTTTGAGGAGAATGGGTATTAGTTTTTTTTTGAATGTTCGGTAAAATTCCCCTGTGAAGCCATCCAGGCCTGGGCTTTTGTTTGCTAGGAGAGTCTTGATTACATCTTCAATTTCTTTTGTTGTTATTGGTCTGTTCAAGTTTTCTATCTCTTCCCAGTTCAGTTTTGGGAGACTGTGTGTTTCTAGAAATTTGTTCGTTTTGCTTAGATTGTCGAATTTGTTACCGTATAATTGTTCATAATATTTGTTAACAATCCTTTGTATTTCTGTGGTTTCAGTTATTATTTCTCCTCTTTCATTTCTGATTTTGTGTATTTGGGTTCTCTCTCTTTGTTACTTGGTGAGTCTTGCTAAGGGTCCATTGATCTTATTTATCTTTTCAAAGAACCAGCTCTTTGAATTGTTTTTTTTTTTTTTTTTTTTGGTCTCCATGTCATTTATTTCTGCTCCGATCTTTACTATTTCCTTCCTTCTACTTGCTCTGGGGTTTTCTTTTTGTTTGCTCTCTAGTTCTTTAAGTTGTGAAGTTAGATAGTCTGTTAGAAATTTTTCTTGTTTCTTGAGGTAGGCCTGTAGTACTATGAACTTCCCTCTCAGAACTGCTTTTACTGCATCCCATAGATTTCCTTCCTTCTACTTGCTCTGGGGTTTTTGTGTTGTTGTGTGTTTATTTTCACTGGTTTCCAGGAAGTTTATTTAATTTCTTCCTTGATCTCCATGGTAACCCATTTATTGTTCAATAACATGCTATTTAGCCTCCATGTTTTCAAATGTCTTTGCATGTTCTTATTGCAGTTGATTTCTAGTTGCATGCCATTGTGATCTGAGAAGATGTTTGATATGGTTCTGTCCTTCTGCTTTTCTGTTGCTTTTTTCTAAAGATTTGTCTTTATTTTAGTTCTAATTCCTGTTTGGTCCTGGGAGATCATCTGTGTAGCTTCCATTCACTCCGCCTCCATTTTCACATCCTCTATGCCTTTCTTGTGAGCACCTGGGTCACACAGGCCCTCTGGTGCCCCCACACTCTGCAGGTCCCACAGGTAACTGGATCGCACATTCCCTTTGGGGACCCGGCTCTATGCCTATGTTATGGTCTGCTGGATCGCACGGGCCTCTCTGGTGCTTCAGCACCCCGCAGGTCCCGTGGGTAACTGGATTGCATAGTCCCCGCTGTGTCACACAGGCCTCTCTAGTGCCCCTGCATCCTGCAGGTCCTGTGGGCAGGCAGCTGGATTGCACCAGTCCCTCTCGGGCTCCAGCTTCTTACAGCACTTGTGAGCAACTGGACCACACAGCCCTCTGTGGAGCTCCAGGTCCTGCTGCTGTGGGTGGGGAGTGCTGCTGCCCCATGGGGCTCAACTCCTGCTCAGCTTTTGCTGTAGTTTTTGGGAATGGGTCTCAGCTGCTGGTCTGTGCTTCTGCTGCCTGGGGATGGATGTTTGCTCCCCAGCCTCTGTTGCTGGGGTTATTCTCGACTCTGATCAGGCTGCTACTATGGGGGATGGTGCTGGGCTCCCAGCTGTCTGCGGCTTCCGCCACCGGCACCTTGGGAGCTCCACTACTGTGCACCGGTCTGTGTTAACACAGAGTGTCCACTGGTCCAATGGTGCCATGTATGCTGATGGGCTCAGGTTGCTGGGCTGTAGCCTCTCCCACTGCCTCCTCCCAGGGAAGACCCTGGATCTTCCAAAATGCTGGGACCTCCCCTTGGTGCAGGGAGAGGTGCCCTTAAGGGCTGCTCACCTCGGTAGCTGGCTGCTCTGTCCACAGCACAGGAACTTTTTGCTCCACAGCTCTGCACTGCTCGGGTTTGGTCGTCCACCTTCACGTCCACTCACACCCTCTCACACACTTGCTCACTCTCTCACACACTCACCCTCCCTCCAGTCCTGCCCGCCGCCATCTTCTCCCCTCCAGGCTATTAGTATTTATTTTAATTCTCACCTGAGGACATTTTTGCATTGATCTTCAGATAGAGCAGGAGGAAGAGAGGGATGAAGAGAGAGAGAGACATTGATGTGAAAGAGGCACATCGACTGGTTGCCACCTACATGACCCCAGCCGGGGTTGGGGACAAACTGCAACCAAGGCATGCGCCCCTAGTAGGAACCGAACCCTGGACTCTCTGGTCTGTGGGCCGACACTCTAACTGCTGAGCCAAACCGGCCAGGGCCTTAATGAGCCTGTAGCTTTTCACTTTATATGTATACATTATGAAGTGAATTAGAATTGGAATTTTGTATGTGAGAGTTGAATGTGGATTTATTTTGGGTGAAGTTCTTACCTTGGACAGACTTTTATGTTCTTGTTCACTCATTAGAGTCATAGTCTTAGAATTGAAAAGACCTTAGAGGTTGATTGGATTATCTTGCCAACTGAAACATAATTTGTGCAGTCAAACTAGAAATGTCTAAGTATGTATGTGTGTATGTGGTGTGTGTTTTAAACAAAATGATTTCATAATTCCCTCATTCACTTTTTTTTTTTTACCAACAATAAAAATAGTTCATTTTATAGTAATTATATAAATATTTTATGCTGATTATAAAATCCCAAACAACCTGGCTGCTGTGGCTCAGTGGTTGAGTGTCGATCCATGCACTAAGAGGTCGCAAGTTCGATTACAGGTCATGGGCCAAATTCCCCATGGGGGGCATGCAGGAGGTGGCCAGTCAATGTTCTCTCTCATCGATGTTTCTATCTCTCTCTCTCTCCTTCTCCTTTCCTCTCTCTCTAAAATCAATGAAAAAAAAAAAAAAGAAGAATAAAATAAAATCCCAAACAATATTGAAAATTATAAGGAAGTGGTACTATTTTGTGGGGTGATATTTTCTTTTCTTAGTATAAGTAATATTTATATACAAAATGATATCTATACTAATGTAAGTTTATATTACATGAACGTAGTGTAATAATAAAGTGAACCCGCCACATAGTTCAAGAGCTAGAAGATAACACATGTGGTCAGCCCAGTCCGTGCGCTTCTTGCCCGTCTCCTCCTTCCTTTTCGCAGAGGCCCAGCTCTTGTGAATTTTGTCATTTTCTTGCCTTTTCAAAAAAATATATTTACTCACACTTATTATACTTCTAAAGTCAATTGCTTCATTTTGTTTATTTCTTTTGTTTTGTAAACTCACCTGAGGTTATGTTGTTATTGATTTTAAGGAAGGGGAGGGAGAGAGAGAGAGAAAACATCCATTTGAGAGAAACCAATTGGTTGCTTCCCTTACGTGCCCCAGCCAGGGATCTAACCTGCAACGTTGTTTTATACAGGATGACACTCCAACCAACTGAGCTGCCTGGCCAGGGCTCGTTTTGTCTCTTTTTGAGCTTTATGATAGTCATAGCTTACTATACGTAATCTTTTGTGATTTGTTTTTTTTTCTCCCATTATTGTGTTTCTATGATTCATTAGTTTATGGGTATCTGCGATTTACTTTGCAGTTTAGCATTCCATTTGATGAATATTTCACAATTTATTAGTCTTCTTTAGATATTTGGATTGTTAAAGATTTTTTCTGTTTCTCACAATATTACCATAGATATTTGTGTATATAATTTGTGCTATACCCATTCAAGAATTTTCTCTGGGCTCTTACACCTACTACAGAATTACTACAAGATAGTGCTAAATTGTTTTCCAAGATTTTGCTACCAAATCATAGTTAGACGAGCAGGATATAAGAATTCCCATTGTTCTACCTTTTAGGCAACATTTAAGAACTGTTAGATGGTTATGGTAATATTTTAATTTTTTTGGCATGAGTATAATAAATAGGAGTTGAAATCATATTAATTCTTTTCATTTTTTTGTGTGGAGTGGCACAGATTGGATTTCTTTTATCATAGTAAAATAAATTATGTTGACATTTAGTACACCAACCACATTTTGTCACTATTTTACTATTTTGTGTACTTAACTTTGGCAAACTCATATCTACATCTGTATATAATACAGTAATATTAACGTATGTGCTTTCAAATATGTGAAATAAGTTTAATTTACCTTTCAAAAATTATATTGCATTAGATACAACATGCATTTTAAAAGTAATTTACGTTTTTTAAATTTAAAGCACAGATTTGCAAAAGAATAGCCCAGTGCATCAGTTAGCTGGAGAGGAGCTGCTGGCTTTTACGTCGGTGAGTAGTTTTTTCTTTCTTTCCATTTTATTTTGTTTTTGTTTATTTTTATCCTCACCTGAGGACATTTTTCCATTTTTTGTTCAGATAGAGTGGGAGGGAGAGAGAGGAAGAGAGAGAGAGAAAGAGAGAGAGAGAGAGAAACATCGACGTGAAAGGGACACATCAAGTGGCTGCCTCCCGCACCACCCAACTGGGGCCGGGGACAAACTGCAACCGAGGTACGTGCCCTTAGTGGGAACTGAACCTGGGTCTCTGGCCCACGGGCTGATGCTCTAACTGCTGAACAAACCATCCAGGGTTCCATTTTATTATTTTTTCCTTATGGATTATTTGGCCTCTGGTGTATTCCAGCCTCAGATTGCTCACATTGAAACACTGCCACTTAAGGAAATTAAGGGAACAAAAACTCATCATTTTAGTTTCCAAACTGCATCTCTCTTGCTTCTGATTTAAACATAAGTACTTTTCTTTGTACTTACTTGGCTTGGAGGGCAGTGACCAAGTATTTCTTGTTTATTGTTTGTTCCAGAGCATCGCACAGAATAGGAGCTCGATAAATGTCGAATGAATAAACGAAGTGGCAGAGCAAGCGTTTGACTCTTTGCTCCAAAGCCACTCTAGTATATAGTTCTGTAAAACTGAGGGTGACCTGCATGGATGGGATGAGGAGAGGACTTCAGGGAGCTAGGAGCAAAACCAGGGGAGCATGGGCGATGGAGGCCAGGGAGAGAGGTGGTGGCAAGAGCATGAGGGTGCTTGTCAGCATTCGACAGCATAGAGCAGGGAGGAGAAAAGCGTGGGCTTCGATAATTGGAGTGCATCGCTTATCTCGAATGACGGTTTCGGTGGAATATCTGGTCATTCCAGGGAATTAAGGAGGGAATGGGGTATGTCAAAGTTGATGAAGACCCCAGTTGGAGAAAAATGGCAGTGAAAAGGAAAGAGAGTAATAGATGTTTGAGGATTTGAGATCAAAGAAGTCTTTTCAAGAAGAGAGAGGTCACAAATGAAGAGGTCAGTCAGTATCTTTTTAGCTTTAGGGAGGAAAATGCACACATATTTAATGAACAGAAGTTGCTTAAGATAGACATCATTTTTTTCAAAGGCATTTTTATATCGTGGTTGGGACTCAAGTTAGAATTCTTATGTTTTATTTCTTTGTTATTTTTCAGATAAGGCATAAATAAAGTATATTTATCTGATAGAAAGGAAAGCTCGCTTACTTTGTACTGTAATATAAATTTTGCAAGTTACTGTTTTCTACATATCGTTTTGGAACTGGTTGGATGATAATCCTTTGAGTTCTCTGGGTACCCTTTTTATTTTCCCACTTGTTAGAAATCCTTGCTGTTTATCATTATAGCATGTGTGTGTTTAGGTTACTATGTAAAAATGTCCTTATTTGTTCATTACATATACTGTCAGGAATTTGACAAGTAAAATGTTACAAGCATTTTTAAAAAGATACCATTAAAATTATTATGTACTTCCCATTTATTTATGAAGCTAATGTCTGTTGACTACTTAATATGTACTAGGCATTGTTCTGGTCATCAGGGATACAGCAGTTTTTCCCCTTTAGGAGTTTACATCAGTTTGCACTCTTGTGGGGGGAATACACAGTAGACCAAGAGAGAAATGCATATTTAATAGAAGTGCGCAGGAGAAATGTCAAGTAGGGTAAGGGAGTAAGAGTGGGACCGGGACAGCTGTGTTAGACAAGGTGGTGGGGAAGATCTCAGTGCGTAGGTGACCTTGAACTCAGGTCTGTATGCAGTGAGTGAGGCACTGGGAAGGATGCAGGGCTCTGGAATGGTGCTGAGCTTGAGTCAGTGTAGGAAGTGCAGAGCTGGGTGGAGACAATTGTCTACATGATAGAGGATGACTGGGATGCTTGGGTTTCTTCTGGTGACTGAGGTGAACAGGATGTAGCATGTAGATAGGAAGTGCTCCTGCTAACCTCTCTGGGGAGGGTGGTCGGTAGCAACATCCTGTCAGGTCTGGTCTCACAGTCAGTTAATGGTGGTGTATATACTATCCACAGTTATCCTGAGAAGATACTAAAACACTCTGTTTCCACTTAGACAGTTAATTTTTTATTTTTAGCTTTTCTTGTGGGTAGGGGTATATTTCTTCTCTTTTAAACCTTTCTTTTTCTACTTCTTCTTTGATTCTTTATTGTTATTATTATTGTTTATTTCTTTCCCCATTGTTGTTCCTCTAAATTGTGAGGTGCTTCTGAAGAAATTAACTCCGCTAACTCTGGTACTGGTTAACTCACCCTCCTGGCTGCAGTGAAGGTCATACTTTCAGGTTTTGTACTTCCTCCCAAGGGCTTTGAACTGCAGTTTCTTTTGCTCTTTCTCCTCCTCGGGCTCTTTTCCAAATCAGAACTGACCTGAAGACTGGTCTCCTTTTGGAGGAAAGCTGTTTGATCACAGTGCTTCATAGTGTGAGGCCTACCTTTTCCATTTATTTATTTTTCTAAATATGTTTTTATTGATCTTTTAGAGAGAGAGGAAGGGAGAGAGAGAGAAACATTGATCGGCTGCCTCCTGCACACCCCCCATTAGGGTTCGAGCCCGAAACCCTGGCATATGCTTTGACTGGGAATTGAACCAGAACCTCTCAGTCCATGGGACAATGCTCAATTCTCTGAGCCACACTGGCTGGGCTGCCCTAACTCTTCTAAAGAGATGAGTGTGGACTTCCGGTCAAGATGGTGGGTAGGTAAATGTGGTATCGCGTCTTCCCACAACCACATCAAAGTTACAACTAAACTACAGAACAGCCATCAAAACTGCCTGAAATCAAGCTGAATGGAAGTCCTACAACTACGGAATTAAAGCAGCAGCTGCATCGAGACTGGAAGGAGGGGCGGAAGCGTGATGGGCTGGTCCCACACCCACGTGTGGCCGATAAAAATCAGGAGGACACCTCGGCTGGAAAGATCCTCCCTGAGGACTGAGGGGTCCCCATCCCACACCAGACTCCCCGCTCAGGGTTCCAGTGCCAGGAAGAGAATCCCCATAACTTCTGGCTGGGAAAACCAGTGGGAACTGAGGCTCAGGGAGGCTGAAGCGGCTGGAGCCCCAGGCAGCTCCTTAAAGGGCCCACTCACGGACTTATCGGACTCTCTCCCTCTAAGCTTGGAGGGGAGGCAGCTTGAGGGGCACCAGAGACATACAGGGAAGAACTGAGCTGTTTGGCATTGGAGCGAGGGCTAGAGAGGGGGTTTTCTCCGGGACAGACGTGCTGTCAGAGGCCTTTGTTCCTTTGGTGAGCCCTTCCCTGGGGCGGCAGAGAGAAACCATATCTGGGACTCCAGCCACCTGGCTCACACTGGTAGCCCCGCCCTGCTGACTCCCTGAGGACCCGCCCCACCCAACTTTCAGGCCCACCCAAGCTGTTGCCACTTGCTTAACCATAGGATTGGCCTGTCTTGGATTCTGCTTCAGGTTTTCCTAAATTCTTTCAAACAAGCAGCATCTGGTCTCAGATAGCCCCATACAACTCATTAAGTAATACATAGAAACAAACACAGGGAGGCAGCCAAAATGAGGAGACAAAGAAACAGGTTCCAAATGAAAGAACAGAACAGAACCCCAGGAAAAGAACTAAGCAAAATGGAGATAAGCAACCTAACAGATGCTGAGTTCAAAATACTGCTTATAAGGATGCTCAATGAGCTTAGTGGGAACCTCAGTGAACTTAGTGAGGGCCTCAAGAGCATAAAAAAGGACCAGTCAGAAATGATGCACGGTCAGAAATGAAGGAGGCATTAACTGAAATAAAGAATAATTTACACAGATTCTATAGTAGAGTATGTAAATCCAAGAAGCAAACCATTGATTTGGAATATAAGGAAGCAAAAAATGCCCAATCAGAACAGCAAAAAGAAAAAAGAATCCAAAAAAACGAGGATAGTGTAAGGAGCCTCTGGGACAACTTCAAGCGTGCCAACATTCACATCTTGGGGGTGCCAGAAGAAGAAGAGAGAGAACAAGAAATTGAAAACCTGTTTGAAACAATAATGGCAGAAAACTTTGCTACCTTGGTGAAGGAAACAGACATACAAGTCCAGGAAGCACAGAGAGTCCCAAACAAGATGAACCCCAAGAGGCCCACACCAAGACACATCATCATCAAAATGCAAAAGGTTCAAGACAGAGAGAATCTTAAAAGCAGCAAGAGAAAAGCAGTTAGTTACCTACAAGGGAGTTCCCATAAGGCTGTCAGCTGATTTCTCAAAAGAAACTTTGCAGGCCAGAAGGGAGTGGCAAGAAATATTCAGAGTCATGAAAACCAAGAACCTACAACCAAAATTACTCTATCCTGCAAAGCTGTCATTTAGAATCGATGGCCATATAAAGAGTTTCCCAGACAAGAAAAAGTTAAAGGAGTTCATCACCACCAAACCATTATTATATGAAATGATGAAGGATCTTTTTGAAGAAAAAGATAAAATATATGAACAAGCAAAATGGCAATGAATACATATCTATCAACAATGGAACCTACAAACAAAATGAACAGGCAGACAGAAACATTCTCATAGATACAGAGAACATTTTGTTGGTTGCCAGATGAGAGCAGGGTTGGGGGAGTGGGTGAAAAAGGTGAAGGGATTAAGAAGTACAAATTCATTGCTAGACTGACAAACCTCAAAGGGAAAAGGGTTGGGGGGTGGGAAGAAATAAACCAAAGAACTTACAGTATATGCATAATCAATGGACACAGACAATAGTGTGGGAAAAGGTGGAAGGGGGATGGGAGGGGTGAGGAGGGGGGTCAATGGGGGGAAAATGAGGAACATCTGTAATACATTCAACAATAAAGATTAAAAAATAAATAAATAACAACAACAAAAAATAGATGAGTGTGTGACTCTCAATTGGTAAGTAGTAGGGCAAGGAGTGTCTATGTGAGAAGGCTTTTAGAAGCCCCGTGCATTCTTGTGCTCTGTACCACCCATTCTTTCTTTAGTCCCAAAGGAA